CTGGTTGTTCTTATGGATGCCAAAATCAATTTACTACATGAGCTTTCCACAGTACCGTGTTCCGATTGCCATTCCTTAAATTTCGGGGTCAACATGGAAAAAAAATGAGGATCCTTCCGTGGACGGGTCTTTAGGGGATCGAGTTGGGGTTCATTTCAGGGTTGGGCATCATTCGGGGTCGAGGCATTGCGTGACCATTCCCAGTCATGCTCAATCCTGTTGCGCCTCCAAGGAGTACAAGTGTTGTCGCCGGGCGAATCGATCACGCGAAAGATGTCCTCTTACACTCCCACAGAAGAGGAAAAGCAGCGATTCATGTCACGAGCAATCGAGCTCAGCGAAGAAGGAGTGTCTGATGGGCACGGTGGACCATATGGAAGTGTGATTGTTAAGGATGGCAAGATTGTGGGTCAGTTAGCAGTCTTAGCAAAGGATTGCATGCATGTATGATTTTGCTCCATGAAGGTCCTTCCACAGACCCACATCACAGCGCTGTTCATTTAGATTGGTGCTAGACAAAGGCGAACTGTCTGCAGCGCGCTTGCTTTATTTTGTGAGTCCGTGAAACTGTGGTTACATAATTATTCTGGGGGGGAGGGGGGCTGGCTCAGGGCCTACAAGGTCAGGGGAAGGGGGATGAGGTGAGGCTCAACTTCCATACAATCATGTTATTCCAGGTTTCCTCCTCCATCCAGCAGTTGCTGCCTTTTTGTGACTTTCATGTTACAAAATGTTGTTCAAATATACAAAGCTCTTTCTCTTTTCTCGCAATTCTCACTACTTTTTCACTTGAGAAAACCACACTTGCACCCACTCTGTGCTGGAAGTCACACCTTCCACTGATTTAACACCCATTTCCACCCCCATCCTACTCCCCCTCCCCCTACCCCTGCTGGTTGCTCATTTCCTATCTCCTATGGACCTACTGCTATGCTGGTGCTGTTCTCTCCACTGGTAAATCATGCATGAAGATAAATACATTTCAGTGTATATGTGAAAAATTATACAGATTGATAAGGAAAATTTTATGGTCCATTTTGGAATCATGGTTTGCCACAAAATTGACTGAGAAGGAAGATATAGCCTTATGATGAGTGATCGTAATTTATTTTCAGGGGAAGGCTTCAATCGAGTGTTTGTAGACTGTGATCCCAGTGCACATGGGGAAGTAGTGGCGATTAGAAATGCAGGAAAAAATCTGAGAACAAATGATCTGGAGGGCTGTAGCTTGTACACCAACTTTGAGCCTTGTCCAATGTGTACTGCTGCAATTTGGTGGAGCAGGTTTGTTTCTAGTGGAATTAGGGGTGGAAAGAATATGCTGCAATGTTTGACATGCTAATGTACATGTAATACTAGTTGTGAATCCTTACATGCTTAAAAGTGAAGTAACAAGACTGAAAGTGAAAATTACAGACTTTCTTTTGAAAAGGATTTATGGAAGGGAAATCTCCTTTGACAAGATATTTAAAGAGCAAATAAATAGATTACAAATGCATTAACTTATTCTGAGGAAATTTGTCAGGATTTCCTCAGAATTTTCAGAAAAATCTTGACCTGTATGTGGCTACTCTGTATTGGAGGTGTCGTCCCATGACATTATAAATTTTCTGTGTCTCAGGATAACAAATTTAATCATCCTTTAATTCAACCTAACCAGCCACTGAGGGGTTGTGTTTTTTGTGCTTGAAAATCTAAAACATCTGTTGTTCGAGTTATTGCAGTACCTTTTTAGAGTATTGAGCCAAACAATATTGTCTGTCAGTTAATTAATTTGATATGTTAAATTGAATTGACTGTATCTTACAACAAGTTCCTCTTTAAGGGGTGAAATAAATTTGAGTGATGCATGCCAAAAAGAAATGATTTTGCTACCTCAATAGCTTTTAGGGGTTCTATTTAAAGTTTCCAATAGGCACTCATGTCAGTTTTTATTAGGGGCATCCCACTTGTGCCTTAACAATATCATGCATGCAATGAAGAATCCCACAACTTGCAATAATAAGAATCCACGAGTGAAGTAATTTCAGCATAAATCAGAATGCGGGTATAATGCACACTAAGCCTTTCCATTCTTCTATAGTGACATTGTAGATCAAAATAATTAAACATAGTTCACTTAGGGCATATTCCTTTGGGGTGATCCGGATCTGGATCAGTGATCCAAGATCTCTCAGATCATGGTACATCAAAGGAATTGATTAATCCACTCTGGTCACGGCTTCATCAGCTTCTTTGATGCACCATGATCTGAGTGATCTTGGATCACTGGTCCTGATCCAGATCACCCCAAAGGAATGCAACCTTAGCCTCAGTTGTGGAATTTTTGCAGATTGGATCAGGTGTATTATGCACAGCCTGTGAAAGGAAGCACTAATCATCATGAAGAAAACCAGGCAGCAGTCCTCAAATTTGTAGCGACATCAATAGACAAGCGTTCTATTCCAGGGGAACAAGTTGAGAGCAAAGCAAAGGATGCAATGGATGTCATTAAAAGATATTTAAATGATGACACAAAGAAAGTCTGAAGTAATGACAAAGCAAATTGTTTTCCCTTTCATTTAAAGCTCTCAACAATGTCAGTATACATAATTTGTAACTATATGATCTTTTTTGCAACTGGTATGTGATTCTATAATCAAATTAGTCATAAAATTGTTTTGGTTTCAGAGCTGAGTCAATTAAGGGCCAATCATTTTTTTATTTTATTTTTTTATTTTTTCCAGTCATCATTGACTTTGTTACCCACGCAGGTGCTATTGATTGTGTATATATATATTACATGTAATACTTCTGCCTAAATAAAATGGCAAAAGAAATAACAATATTGAATAGTATGTTACACAATTCTGGTTATAAACCCCCATGCTTATAGGCCAATCTTATGTATAGAAACTATTTTTAATTAATTAATGGCATCCTTCTTCCCCATTGATGTAAGCTCTCCTCTTTTCTTGTTTCATCATTTTTACAGGAAAGGCAAAATAAATTTATGGAGCTATCATTTTTTGCCATCTCATTAAAATACTATGAAAGAAACTGTTTACTGTTCTAAGTATACAACATGTATTGTGCAGTTCCAGAAAATAGCCATACTCCCACCACGGGAAAAAAAAAATTAAAGAAATGTATCAAGCTTAATCGGAATTTCCAGAAGGGTGTGTGGTTCTGGATATTTTTTTGGAGCCACACATTAAAAATTAACTTGCTGCACAGAATCTCATAAACAGGCCTCAACTTTATCCAAAGAGAAGGGCTTTATTTGTGTACTTTTAGTATATATCAATGTGAGCAGAGGAGTCTACATACTAGTGCAATAACCTCTGTGATTGGTGTGTTTTTTCCTCACTTGCATGTTTCACAAAGCGAGGACAAGAACCAAAAACAAACTAAATCAATAAATGGTAGTGTATCCAGTATTACATGGATGGAAGGCACTGTGCCATCCCAGTGCCC